CCTAACACAATGCCTGGTACACAGTAGGTACTTAGTAAATGTTTATTGACTGACTGAAGAGTTCTTGATCTTCCCACCTCCTACCTGGAAAGTATCTATAACTGTAACCCTCCCCTCCCCCCAATACAGTGGGTTTACCCCAAGGCCTTCTCCCTTTTTTATACTATATATACTTTATACTTCTCTATACTATCTCTAGGTGACCTTATCAACTCCCATGGGTGATATGGAGAAAACTTTCCAAGATCAGCCCTGGTTTCCCTCCTAAACTTCAACCCTAAATCACCAACTGCCTATTAGACATTCCAAACTGGATGACCTATAGGCATCTCAAACTCAACATGGACAAAACACCCCCATACACATCCTTCCTTAAGACTTTCCTATTTCTTAGAGGCAGCTAGGTGGCACAGTGGATAGAGCACCAGCCCTGGAATCAGGAGGACCTGAGTTCAAATCTGGCCTCAGACACATAACACTCACTAGCTTAGCTGTGTGACTTTGGTCAAGTCACTTAATCCCAACTGCCTCACCAAAAAAACAAAACAAAACAAAAAACTTTCCTATTTCTGCTGTACAACTCTCTAGTCACCCCAATTAGAAAGCTCTAAGTCATTCTTGACTCCCAACTCTCCCTTCCTCATCCAACATACCCCACCTGTTGCCAAGTCTTGTCAATTCTACCTTCACAATATCTCTCCTGTCCATCCTCTTCTTTCCACTCCCTTGGTCACGACTCAAGTTCTAGTGCTTATCACCTGTAACACGGACAATTCCAAGAGACTACTAAAGGTTCTTCCTTCCTCCAGTTTTTCTATTCTCCAATCTATCCACCACACCATTGCCAACGTGATCTTCCTAAAAGCACAAGTCTAAGGTCAAATACAAATCCCTCTGGCATTGAAGGCCCTTCCCCACCAGGATCCAACCTACCTTTCCAGCTTTATTCTAATTTCCTACAAAGCTCAGCTTGATATCACCCTGTACACAAGGCCCTTCTTGACTCTTCCCAAACTTCCCCCCTCCAAAAAAAACCCCCAAATATTCTTGTACTTATATATTTTGTATGTAATTACCCCTGTGCATGCAGTATCCCTGAAAAGAATGCATGCTCTTGAGTGATCCTTGTGCATTTTAAAAGCTCCCAAGAGGCACATAGCAAATGCTTGAAAATATACTTCAAGATCACCTAGCTCTGTGATAATCAAATGAGCACCTACTGTGTACAGAGTAAAGTTGGAGGCACTGGAGGGAAGGTGTTATAATACAAAGATTATGTGTACAAGATGCCTTCTCCAACTATGGATAGCTTTTTTTTCTATCTCCAATTTAACATGGTAGTCTCAACAGTTCCCTATTTGTATCCCCTCCTGAACCTCTTCCTTCTTTCTTGTTTACTTCTTCGTGATTTATGAACACTCTTGTCTTTATTGTCAAAATCCAAATCCATATACTGGCTATGTCTGGGAAAAAAAATGTTTCATTCTGCCCCAAAGGTCCAGCACCTCTGTCTTAAGAGGTGAGCATAATTCATCAAAGTTTTCTGGGGGTAGTCATTGCATTGATCATAGTTCTAAAGTCTTTCACTGTAATTTTCCTTTCCAATGGCTCTACATATATTTGCACACATGGGTCCTTTCCCTGTCTTTCATCTCTTTGGAATATAGCCTAATGGTGCTATTGACAGGGTCAAAGTGTATATACAGTTTAGAGACTTTCTGAGTATAGTTTCCAATTGCTTTCCAGAATGGTTGGAACATTCATAGCTCCATTCACATTGTGTTAAGTGTGCCTGTCCCTCCTAGAATCCGTCAAACAATTGCCATTTTCCCTTTTTATAATCTCTGCCAGTCTGATGGGTGTAAGGTAGAATATCTCAGAGGTGTTTTAATTTGTATGTCTACTGTTGAGTAAAATTTCTTTTCCAAAGAGGTTAGCCTCATTTTACAGATTAGGATGCTGAGTTGAAGAAAATATCATTGGGGACTTGGCTTGGTCTAGGTATGAACTAGCCAGATTGGTGCAAACACTGTCACCCATAACAGAGTAATGTGCAGTGTGGGTATAGTAAAAGGTTCTTATTCCTGAGGAGTAAGCAAAAAATCCCAGGGAATTTTATCAGGGAAGAGGTGGAGAGAAAAAAAAAAAAGAAGGAAGAACAAAAGATAAGTAATTTCTCCAAAGTAGAGATTCAAGTTAAGCTCAAGGAACCTGGGTGATCAAATCAATAGTTAGAGAGAGACCTCCCAATCAAATCAGATGCCAAGGGGATGCTTAACAAAAAAAAACATGGGGATGCTTAACAAAAAAAAAAATAAAAGATTTGAGACTTAGAACAAAACACCTCAATGCAGCCTCCCCTTTGTTGCTAGTCCCTTACCCTGAAAGTTAAGTTCCCTATCCCTGAAAGCTTCAGGGAAGATTTTGCCCGTTATCACCTAGGGAAGATAGAGCCCAGGATATCTACTCAGGTATCTCCTTAAACTCAAGTACAGAGCACCCCAATCTCCTGAATGAAGGAACAGCTAGCCTTCAGGCAAGTGTGGAGAGACAAGGTTCAAGTTCAGAAGATAAGATAAAAAAAAAACAACTAAAGCACAAAAACATAATCTGGTAATGCTACAGTCACATGGAACAGTTCAGACAAGCAAGGCAGGTCAGGAGGGAACCTTGGAAAATCAGCCATAGCCTGCAAATCTATAGACAAGGCAATAAGAAAACCGAGGATTTCTTGGAGGGTATTAGTCAGTCCTTTCTTTGTATCCTGTCCCCTTTGTTCTCTCCAGTTTCAGTTCATTCTCCTGGTGTCCCCAGTCAGAAAACAGGGAGGGTACCTTCCTCCATTCCACCCAGATGCAGTTTCAGAGAATTGGTGATGGAGGTGGGGGAAGGGAAGATTAGAAGGGAAGTTATTAGAAACCCAGACTCTATAACTCTAACTCCTGTAACTGGGCCCCTCATTGTTCACTTCCCAGACTCCTAATTGGAAAAACCTCTCCCAGACCCCATTAGCTGTAGACAGATGGGAAGCAGTGTATTTCTCCCTAGCACCCCAACATCTGAATTCCCTTATCCAGAGGGAGTAAAGGGACTCCAGTGGAGCCTAGACATATGAACTGCCCCCTTCTCCCCGACCCAAATGTCCACTGCTACCTAGGTAACAAGCAAGAGAGGACGGAGATGGGGGCGAGGAAGCAGAATGGAGAGAGGAAGAGTGAGAGGAAAGGAAGAAAAGTGCTTCATTTTCCCTCCTTCGTCACTTAGGGAAAAAGAAAACTTTTAAAAATCAGGGCCAACGTGCCCCATTCAAGGGAAATACCACAAACCTGGTTTGAATCACCGAGCATTCACCCACCCAACAAATACATATAGTCAAGCTGGCTCAGTGACTGAAACACACACACACTAAGGAGGGGCTGAGTGACCGAAATGTACACACACTGAAGCTGGTCCAGCGAAAGAAATATACATACTCAGTCTCAGTGATTGAAATTCACACACTCAGGCTCATTGACTGAAATACACACACGCGCGCACACGCACACCCGAAGGCAGACTGGGTGACTCACACACACTAAGGGAGGCTCAGTGACTCACACACAAGCAGGTCTCCCTTTAGACCTCCCTCTCCAAAATCAGCCCAGCCCAGGTACCCTTGCGACTCACCCCGGGAGACCCGAATCCCGAAGAAGGCGGCGTAAAAAGAGAAGCTAAGAAAGAGGGGGCAAGTTGATGTCTCAGTTGGGGGCGCTCCAAGGCCGGGGGCGGTGCCAGAGGAGGGGGGGCGGGGCGGGCAGAGTCTCGGAGTAGGCTCAGCGAAGGACGATTAAATCATTAACCCGCTACAGCAACGTCCTGGCTCCCTTCTTCTCCACCCGCCCGGGCGCGGCCACCTCGGCCTCCCTAGGTTTTAAGGGACTTTGCAATCAGCGTGTTGCGCTGATGGGGCCCCCCCAATTCTTACCCTCGGCCCTAAAAAACACATGTACACACACAAAACCTGGGACAAAGGGAGAACGCTGGAGGACTGTCCTTCCCAAAAAAAGGTCCTCAGAGGGAGCAGATGGGGGTGGGAAGAGGTGGGGTGAGAAGGACAGCGAATAATCCGCACTATTCAGGGCTCCCTTCCCGGCTGCTGCTTCCTTCCCGTGTCCTCCTTTTTAAAAAAATCAGCCTGGTGACATGTAGTGGCGCTGCAGAGTGTGAGTGTGTGTGTGTGTGTGTGTACACGTACGTACAAGGCTGGGTTACTACAGGGAAATATTTCCGTGTATTATTCACGGAGAACTGTATCAAACACCTACACGCCCCTCTCTGAGCTAAATCGTCGGTTGTGCGCCGGGCGCTGGTCCAGGTCTTTCACGCCTCCTCCTTTCCCCACCCTATGTACAAGCCCCTATCCCAGGGCAAGACTCGATCTACAACGAGGCTTTGGGGCAATAGGTCAGCTGAATTAGGGGAGAGAAAATTCCAGAGTCCTCAACCTAGGGCGGGCAGGATTAACCAACTTCTTCCCCTTTTACACCCCCTCCTCTTTTGAAAGACAAATAAAAACAAAGCTTAGCGGTCTGCTTGTACCCTACCCTTTCTAAGGCGATTGGAGTTCCTAGAACCCTTCCCCGCACGCATGGGACTGGGAAGGAAAGGAGCCCCTGGAGCTGAGGTCGGACGAGCAGGCTGGCCGGCCCCCAACCTGGCATCTCTGATGGGCACGAGAGAAAGGGTCTTGGCTGGCAAAGGTGGGAATGGGGGAGGGGTAGAGTACTCCCCGACCAATCCAGAGCTTTTCCTAGGCTATCCACATCTCTGGCCCTGGGGGGTGCGTGGGGGGTGTGTACTCGGCTTCCGGCAGCGCCTGTGTACCCCAGGATCGCCTCCTGGGGACCTCTGCCTCCCCATCGGGGTTCGAACCCCGCAAACCACCTCCACCAGGTGCAGACAACTGTCAGTACCCAGTAGGAACAGGTCACCGCAGTGGTGAGCGCCCCACTTCCCCCTACCTCGGTCACCAGAGTCCAGTCTGCTCGGGCTGTTGTGTTTCTCCTAGCTTCACGGCTGCTCTTCCTTCCACGGACTCAGCTCGCCTCGCATTTGGAGAGCCCATGTCAATTCCTAACCCTTGTTCCAGTTTTCTCTTTCTCTTTCTCTCAGTCTCCGTGTCTCTCTCTAGGCGCTGTTCTGACACTCCTCTCTCGGTCTTTCTCTCTCTTAGTGTTTCCTCCCTCCCAGCTTTCCTCCCTCCCAAAGCTCTCCGGGGTGATGTAATCGGCCTGCCGCAACCAATGGCGTTAGGAAACATCAGCCCAGACGCTTAGGCCTCCTCCATTCAAAATCCAAAAGCCTTGAGTTTTTTGAGTTCCATGTGAGTCGGCCACTGAGTCTAGTGGGGAAGCTAGCCAGGGCTTGGGCCCCAGACCTCGAGAAAGGAGCTTTATGGAGCGTGCAAGAGAGGAAAGTGACAAATCTGAGTTGGTCCAAAGATCCCATGTGCCAACTCCATGCCACAGGCTCCTTCTCTTTTGCTAAATTTCGGTTTTCCAACTTAAACAATTTGAGAGTTCCTTAAGGAAGAGTGGGATCCCTTACTCCCACAGAGGTCCACCCTGGACATCTCTGGCAGGGAGCCAATATCTAGCCCTCACTATGAGATCCTGCCTAAAAAAAAATCACTTTTTCCTTACCTGCCCCCTCAAAGTAATGACAGGAAATGTTTCCCCCAGGACTGGAGTTTTCCTGATTCATGATCTCCTTAAAGCTTCTGAGATGGGCATTATGAGACAGAGGGGCAGAGGAGGCTGTCAGCTCTTAGAATAGCTAATCACCTCCCAGCCCCATTAAAGAGAGAGGGATTGGAGGGGGAAGGGAAGAGCTCACTTCAAGTTCATGGACTCCATCCCAGACAGTTACTGGAAACCAAAGGGGGTTGGGGGGGGGAGGGGAAGTGAAGAAGAAACTTAATCCAAGATGGGTAATTGGGTTTTATTCTCATTTGATCTTTTGTTTCTGAGACTGGAAAAGCATAAGTTTGGGCTGGTGGGTGACTTGGATTATATTTTGGTCAATAGAGTTCTGTTCCACTTTTCCAAACTCCCCTCCCTTCAGATTAACTCCTTGTCTACCCTGGGTATTGAGACAAAAGACTCAAGTTGTTGGGGCAGGGATGGGGACAGATGAGGTACCGTGGTTTCTAGGATTCTTTCAGAATTTTAGTTTGAGTAAATGAGATATAAGTGAATTCCTAAGCCAGGATCATCCACCCCTCAGCTCCAAGGCTTCTACCAGCCCATTACAGCTATACATGCTGAGTGATTGCTGATGAAGTCACTACAAATTTGTTAGGTAAATTCAACCAGCCATCTCTGCTGCTGGCCAATCCTTTAACCCTCCCGTGATTTAACTCTGTCTCACTCCCTTCATTCTCTATTCAAACCTTTTCCGTTCTTGGACCATCTATTACCATTGCTCCCTTCTCCCTCCCAGAGCACATTGTCTTATATTGTACTTCACTGAAAAGAAAAGGTGAAACAATGTGTTACTAGTTCCCTTTTCTGGCCATCTCTACACTTTAAATAATGTCTTAATCACCCCCAACTCTCTCCTTTCTTTCTCAAAGTCTGGTGGGGTAGGGGGGTGGAGTAGCCCTTATTCTTGCAAATGCTTTACTCTCTACTTAAAACCTTGACCCAATCTCCTCCTTTCTCCTGCATGAGCTTGCTTGCCCTCTCTCATACCCTCTTTCTCCCTTATTTTATTTTATTGGGGGGGGCAGGGAGAGGCAATCAGGGTTAAGTGACTACCCCAGGGTCACATAGCTAGTAAGTGTCTGAGGCCATACTTGAATTCAGGTCCTCCTCACCTCAGGGCCGTTGCTCTATCCACTTTGCCACATGACTGTTCCTGCCTCATTTTCAATTTACCCTTATCCAGTCACTCCTCTATTGCTTAGAAACATGCTCAGATCTCCCCCATTTTTATAAAACCTTCCCTTGATCCTGTCATCTTCTCTGGCTATAATGCTATATCTTTTCTCCTTGTGTGAACATTGAAATTTCTAGAAAACAAACAAACTTCTACCATTATTGCCTCCCCTTTCTCATCTCCTACATCTCAACCCCTTGCAATCTAATCTGGCTTCCTGAAAACTGCTCCTTTCAAGATTACCAGTGTTCTCTTTTTTAAAGGGTTTTTTTTTTCAAAAATGGTCTTTGTTTTAAAAAAATGAACTTAACAAACATCAACAACCATGAATAGTTCCATATATAAAGAACAGGAAAAGAGGATTGCGTGTGAAACTGTGAATATCAGGACTGCATTTTCACTGGTTTTCCCTAAGTCTCTCCCTCCTCATCTCAGTCTCTGGTTTCCTCCAAGTCTCAACTAAAATCCCACTTATCAGTCAGTCAAAAACCATTTATTGAGCACCTACTAAGTGCTGGGGATACAAACAAAGGCACCCCCTAAAAAAATGAAACCCCAGTTTGTGATCTAAAGGAGCTCACAGTGGACAAAGAACTACGCATTAACAAGATATAGATAGGCTAAATTGGAGATTTGGCAGAGGGGACTAGCATTATGGGGGATCAGGAAAGGCATCTTGTAGAAGGTAAGATTTTAGCTGGGACTTTAAGGAAGCCGGGAGGCATGAGTTTAGGATGGAGAGAATTGTAGATATAGGGAATGAGAAATGAAAATGCAGAGTGGGGAGATGACTTGTCTTGTGCAAGCAAGCCTGTATCACTGGACTGAAGAATAAATAGGGGTGAATAAAGTCTAAGATGACTGGAAAGGCAGTAGGGAAACAGGTTATGAAGGCATTTGGTTGTCAAAAATTTTTTGTTGTTCAGTTGTTTTTCTTTTGTTTCTGACTCTTCATGACCCCATTTGGGGTTTTCTTGGCAAAGATATTGGAGTGGTTTGCCATTTTCTTTTCCAAGTCATTTTACAGATGAGGAAACTGAGGCAAACAGGCCTAAGTGTTTTGTCCAGGGTCACACAGCTAGTAAGTGTCTGAGGATGTCAAAAAGAGGATTTTATATTTGATCCTGGAGGTGATAGGGAGCCACTGGATTTTACTGAATGAGAAAGTGGAGTGACATGCATTATCATACCTGAACCCTCTGCAAAAAGCCTTTCCCATTCCTTCTTACTACTAACGCCTTCCCTCTGAGATTATCTGCAATTTATATGTTATATGGCTTGTTTGTACATAGTTGCAAGTTGTCTCCTCTTTAGAATAGTGACATCCTTAAGGAAAGGCATTATTTTTGCCTTTTTTCATATTCCCAGAGGTCAGCATAGTTCCTGGCAAATATCAAGTGCTCGCTGATTTCTTGACTTGACTGCAACTTGGATTTTTTCCATAGTAGTCTTTTTTTTTTTTTCTAGGCAGTTGGGATTAAATGACTTGCCCAGAGTCACACAGCTAGTAAGTATCAAATGATCAAGTGTCTGAGGCCAGATTTGAACTCAGGTCTTCCTGACTCCAGAGCCGGTGCTCTATCCACTGCACCACCTAGCTGCCCCTACAGCTTGTATTTTTTTTTTTTTTTTTTGGCTAGGCAATGGGGTTAAGTGACTTGTGCAGGGTCACATAGCTAGTAAGTGTTATGTGTCTGAGGCTGGATTTGAACTCAGGTCCTCCTGAGTCCAGGACTGGTGCTCTATCCACTGCACCACCTAGCTGTCCCTGGATTTTTTTTTAAATATGTTAAATTTAACGCAGTAATACCAATACTGCTCTGCCTGTCCTTGCCGCTTTCTATGTATCCTTGTGTTCTCATGTGTATATTTTATGTTTCACAAAGTCATCAACCCTCACTCTCTCTTCCAGTCACCGAAGTCCAGTGGCAGGACAAGTCAAGATGACCTTCGATGGCCCTGGATGCAGTGGATGACCGTGGCGTCTTTGGTGTCTGCCCAAGCTCTGAGTGCTCCACAGCACCTGCTTCAGCCACCTCCACGGCCGTTGGAGATACATTGTTCTCATCCACCCATTCCACCCGGGGGGAATTGTCACATGCTTTCAGTAGACATCCCCCAACTTACCAATAGGTTTGAGACCTGTAGCTTACCCTCAACCTCGTTTAGCCCATCTGCCGAGATGGTTTACCAGGGTATAGCTGCTGTACATGCTGCAGCTTCTTGGAGCCAAAGGTGAGAGTTGAGTGAAGGTGAACACTAAAGGCAAATGAACAGTACTGCAACAAGCCTTGGTAAGCCCTCACGCCAGAGGTCCTAATCCTCCCTGAACACCCCATACACCCCATTATATATTTTACATATTTTTAATTTTGAATAATGTGAATTTGAATAATAAGAACACTACAAAGGATCCATTATTGGAGCAACTCAGGACCTAGCTGTAGTATGTTTTTTCTTTGACCTAGAAGCACTGGATTTTGGCTAAGATGCTTCTAAATGTTTTCACTTTGAGATTGCTTTAAGGATAAGACTGCTAGATGCTTTCTATTTTCACTTTGTCCTCTGGATCTAATAGAACTGGGGGTAGTTTTGTTTTTATGATTTCTTAAAATATGACATATAGTTTTTTTGTTTTGTTTTGTTAATCGTTTTCAGGGTTTGTAAATGGTTTTCAATGGCTTATAAATTCTCTTTCCTTGACCTGTTGTCTAGGTCAGTTGTTATTAATAGGGGGTTACTTGACGTTGGGGGGGGGGAGTGGCTAGGTGGTGCAGTGGATAGGACACTGGACTGAGAACCAGCAAGACTCCTCTTCCTGAGTTCAAATCCAGCCTCAGACATTTATTGGCTGTTTAACCCTAACCAAATCACTTAACCCTGTTTGCCTCAGTTCCTCATCTGTGAAAATGAGCTGGAGAAGGAAATGGCAAACCACTCCAGTATCTCTGCCAAGAAAACCCCAAATGGGGTCACAGAGAGTCTGACACAACTGAACAACAACGACCCTTGACGTGATCTTCTGGGTTTTTTTTTTCTCAATTATTTTACTCTGTTTTCACTTTACTGCATTCTATTTTTGGGGGGAATATATTACTTGTGTAAATGTTTCTATCTTATATTCTTTTTTAAAAAATAAGTTATTATTGATATTTCTATTTCTTATATAACCATAGTCATCTCAAGTATCCCTTCCCTTCTTAGAGAACCATCCTGAATGACAAATACTACTTTTTAGAGGAAAAAAAAAAGATAAGCACAACCAAAGGATACATTGAAAT